TGAGACACACATTTGCTTTGAAAGTTAGCACTGGCTGCCGCAGCCCTGACTCCAGCAAGGCTCATCCCATCTAAGAACCGCTGGAGCGAGCTTTTACAAATTTCAAATGACTTCCCCAGCCCCAAACTCTGGTGTGTTTGGCTTCAGGCGGACCTGGAGGAACCAGTTATTTAGAAAAGCTTCCAACTTCTCCTTTGCGGTAAGGGCTCACTCCTCTCTATCCAAGGCGTTTAATCCTCCTTGCTCTCCAGAGCTCTCTCATCCTCTTCTCACTTTGAATATACTATCAGAGGCCGGTGGTCATGTTTGCAAAAGCTGCCTAACTTTCTCAGATTCTCTGTGGAGAAATTTTAGGGCTCACATTCAAGTAAATCTGCACTTACTGTGATTTTTCTCATGTCTTCACCTTCGGTGCTGCTCCTCGGGGCTCCCTCAGCTGCACCCTCAAGTTACCCTCCAGCTTTGTCTCTGTGGTTTGTGTCTGATTTCTCCCAGCTAAGGTCTGCCAGGAACTCACCAAGAACAGCAATCCTAACTGTGGTTGGCATCACCGGAAGTTTGCATAGCTAATTCGTTTCACCAAAGGAATTCTAAGAAAGATGAAAAATATTCAAGAAAGGGTCCTAGAAACTATGGTTTTCCAAGGTTGGATAGCTTGCTGTATTGGACTGTTGACTGAAGAAGCTGTGGTGGTGGTGCATGCGGTGGTGGTACATGCATTTAATCCCAGCCCTTGGGAGGCAGAGGCAGCCAAACTGGTCTACAGAGTGAGTTCCAGGACAGCCAGGGCTACACAGAGGAAACCTGTCTCAAAAAACAAAACAAAAAAATGTGGAAAAGAAGAAATGTTTTTGCATAGATGACATTAATATTCGGGACAACAGAGAAAACTTTTCATGACAAGTTGCAAACAAAAGTTTTCTCCATGCCTCCATAGTTCCATTCACTATGACAAAGAGTCACCTCATGAGTCAGGTGTGTAAGGGGACCTACCAGGACTAGGTCTTGCTTCTGATACTCTGTCCATGATCAGGGAAAATCCAGGCTGGCTGCTGGAGAGATTGCTTTCTATTTATACATACTTAATATGAATAAGGCCAGCATTGGCTTTCAGGCAGTGGTTCTCAACCTTCCTAATGCTGCAACCCTTTATTCACTCCTTGTGTTGTGGCGACCCCAACCATAAAATTATTTTCGTTGCTACTTCATAACTAATTTTGCTCCTGTTATGAATTATAATGTAAAGATCCGTGTTTTTCGATGGTCTTAGGTGACCCGTGTGAAAGGGTTGTTCAGCCCGCACACAGGTTGAGAAACACTGCCTTAAGGTGGGAGACTGACCCTCTCGTACAAGGTCCACAGTTTGCCCACTTGATACAGGACACGTCTGGGACAGTGCTTTTCACAGGTGATTGTGCACCCCAGTTACTGGGATGGCATAACATCCTTAGGGGAGTTGAAAGTCTGCCCCAGGGCCTGCCTGCACTTTTGGGGAACAGACTACATGAGAAGCAAGGTCTGGTTAGTGTCTGCTTCTCCTGGCTGCTTCCCTTCAGAATCATCTGAGGGTTTTTAAAAGGCTGGTACTGGGACCTATTTATAATGACTGTGATTGAATGGGGGAGGGCGGGCCCTGAAGTGTGTGTGTACTGATAGATATGAGTCACCTACAGATGCCTCTGATTTGACACCCGTGTGCAAGTACGGTTAAGAGCCACTGCCACGAGATTGGCACACTTTTGCGCTGACTCACACCTAAAAATCATCCTGTGTGAACTCTGTAGCAACCCAGGAGGTACCTTAGGTGACCTTATGTGAGTACAGTCACTTTATGGATGTGTCTATGAAGAAGAGATTGTTCTTAGTTAGCCGATCCCTGGAGATGAGCTGAGTGTTGCTGTCAGGGGACACACCCAGAAAGAAAAATGGTCCTTTCTTAAAGATGTCCCGGGATACAGGAAGGAGGTTAGGGTGAATGTGAATGTGGTATCTCTAGGCTCAGGAGACCCTTCATCCTCTGTGTCCCTGCACCAGGAGAGATCAGGCAGACAGTGCGTTATGAGCACAACTCGGACGCTTCGAGTTTCGTTAGAAACATCTGTATGTTTGCTTCTTACTACATCTGTGTGTGTGTGTGTATAAATATATGCACTGGTGAAATTCCCACATTGCCAGAATTCTAGCATTTACATGTTCCCTTTGCCAATTTTTAGGACATTTTAGACTATTTCCTGTACATTTACTTGCTCTCCTCTCCAAATTTAATGACTTAGGAACCTGGTGGAAGGACTGTGGCCATTTCCAGAAGCTTTCAGTGCTTCTGACAGTGATGATTCAGCTTGTTCAAAACCATAGACCCGGTTCAAAAGTTAACTGTTTCATTGTTACCGCAAAATAGTCTCAGCAAAACAGGAAATAACTATATTAACAGTATGCTAATGACAACTTCTTAGAAAACACTTCAGAGTTCATGGGTTAAAATTGAATATAGTTGTGCTGTTGATAAGTTGGAATTTTTGGAGCCAGCAATGTGACCCCACATGTAAAGGTTCTTACTGCAAGCATGATGACCTAAGTTGGATTCCCAGAACCCGGTAATAGAAGGATAGAACCAACTCCCTCCTGCTGTCTTCTGATTTCAGCACATTCGCACCATGGCACAAGCTTGTGTGTGCGCTCACACGTGTACGTAAACACACACACACTCTCTCTCATGCACACACATAGATGTTAAAAGAAGTTGGACTTCTCTGCCTTCTCACTATTCAGTCATCAACTATAACTTGGTCTCTGTCGAGGCCGCTTCCTTCAGTCAGTCACTCATTATTTGAAATCCAAATTAACTTCCTCACCCACCCTCTCTTTAGTCTCTTAGAAAAAAGTCCATCTAGGCGGAGACCTATTTACACCCACGTCTTGTCAGAGAATAAAGCGCGAATCCCCGAGTGTCATTTTGAGCCTTCTGACCAGGGTCTGCATTTCCTCCACCCTCATGGCCTGTTACTTGCCCAGATGAGTCCTTGTCTGAGGTTGAGAATTAGGGAGGAAATGGTGGAGGCTCAGAGGAGGGCAGATACATGAAAGGGTGATTTGGACAGAAGGACTGTAGGTGACACCAGGGACGTGAGTGGTCACTGGGCACCATTACCGGTCCTCTGACCTCATAACTGGATTTAAAGTGAGACCATCGAGCGTGTGGCTTCTGTGGTGTGGGTGCAGGGCCAGGGACCCTCACATTCTTTGCGTTCTGCTAGCACCTGGCAAAGCCATCCCATTTCTGGTAACTGCTTTTGTGCATCCTGGGACCACCCTGTGAAACACATTATCTTTTCCTGCCAAAATTATTATTACTATTATCATTTATTTATTTTAATTTTCTTCCCTCATATATTGCATCCTGACATGACAGTTTCTACTTTCCTCCCCCCAGTCTCTCCACCCCTACCTCAACTCTCCCCAGATCTACCCTCCCTCTGTCACCTCTCAAAAAATAACAGACCTCTCAAGGACATCAACCAAATATGGCATAATATGCTACTATAATACCAGACACACACTATCACGTCAAGACTGAACAAGAGAACCCAGCTGTAGGAAAAGGGTCCCATAAGTAGGCAAAAGAAAATTTTTGAAACAGCCCAGATGCCCCTCAACTAAAGAATGGATAAAGAAAATGTGGTACATTTGCATAGAAGAGTACTACTCAGTGGTAAGAAACAGTGACATCCTAAAATTCACAGACAAATTGACAGAACTAGAAAAAAACCATCCTGAGTGAGGTAACCCAAAACCAGAAAGACAAATATAGTATGTACTCACTCATAAGTGGATACCAGACATAAAGCAAGAGGTACCCAGCCTACAATCTACAACCCCAGAGAAGCTAGAACCCTCTTCCAGAAACAGATAGAAGCAGATGCAGAAATCCACGACTAATCAATGGGCCAAGCTCCTGGAGTACAATCAAAGTGAGGGAGTCAAGACCATGAGGGGGAAACCCACAGAATCAGCTGACCTGAGCTATGAGAGAGAGATCACTGACTCAGGTCTGACAAATGGGGAACCTGCTTAAGACCAGACTAGACTCCTTCATATAGGTGACAGTGGTGCGACTGGGACAATACATGAGGCAGTGGGTCCAAAATCTAACACTAATGCACACACTGACTTAGTGGAGGCCATTCTATATGGAGAGACTCCTTGCTCAGCCTAGACACAGGGGTGTGTAGGGGGTGGAGAGGTGCCTTGGTCCTGCCTCAACAAGATGAAGAAACAGACTTAGATTTCCTAGGGGAGGCCTTACCCTCTCAGAGGAGCAGATTCGAGGTGGGGAGGGGGAGGGGAACAGGAGGAGAGGAGGGAGAACGGATTGGAGTATAAGAAGTAAATTGTAAAGAGAAGCTTTTTCCTTGAGAGAAGCCTTCCCGCCAGCCTGGTTCCAGAGCTGCATCAGTCCCAAATAAACACACAGGGGGCTATATTAATTATGAAGCTGTTGGCCTTGCTTGTTTCTTACTGGCTAGCTCTGACGTAAGTAATTACCCCATAATTGTTAATCTAAGTATTTCTCTTACCAGACAACTTTCCGGGCTTCCTACCCCATGGCGTTACATCTTGACTCTCTGTGTTTCTCCTTCTCAGAGTCCTTCTGGATTCCTAGTCCCACCTATCTCGGTTCCCTATTGGCCCAACAGTGCTTTATTGACATAATCACAGGACTTCCCACATCAGTAAATGAATAAAAATAAATAAAATTCTTTTTTCTTAAATGTTGGTCAGTTTTAATTCTTGTAATCTTTAAGGAATAAAGGATCAGTAAGCCCAATGATAAGTCAGAGCTAGTCAGCAAAGAGTGACCTATTATCACCAGCAGTCAGCATACAGAAGATGGTGCTTAGAAAACATTTAATAAGTTTGTGACTTCATACTTTCAAAGATTAAGACAGCAGAGTTACTCTTTGATCAAACAAAAACATACAGCTGTAAATTCCTAACTGGGAAAAATTATGAAATGCTTCACAGATTTGCATGTTGTCCTTGCCCAGGGGCCATGCTAATCTCCGTAGCCTTCCAGCTTTAGTAAATGTGCTGCTGAAGTGAGAACACACACACACACGCACACACACACACACCTTTCTTTTGTGGAGACTGCTACTGACTATTGCTGAAGTGAGCACACACACACACACCTTCCTTTTGTGGAGACTGCTGACTATTACTGAAGTGAGCACACACACACGCACACACACACATGTACACGCACACCTTCCTTTTGTGGAGACTGCTGACTATTGCTGAAGTGAGCACACACACACACACACACACACACACACACACGCACCTTCCTTTTGTGGAGACTGCTACTGACTATTTTCTCCTTGTTACCCTTCATCCCCTCATTCTTAGTCATCTCCCTCCATCCTCTCCCCACTGCCGGTACGTTTATGAAACAACTACGCGTTAGGCTTTTCTCTCTCTGCCATAGTGTGCATCCAGCAGTGCTTAAATTGTGAACTTTTAATCTCGGTTTATAACCGAGAAATATATAGCTGAAAGTTACATGCTTTAATTTTTATGTCTTTCCCTACCAAATATAAATTCATAACATGTTCTTTCCAAATAGTAACAGATACATACATATGCATAAATGTAGATATACCTATCTATATAAAAATGGGAAAAGTAAAAACCATCAAAGACCATTCAGAAATATTAAATATCTGAGGTAACAATATCTTAAAATAAGCTAGAAAAATGCCAGGTGATGGTGGCACACACATTTAATCACAACACTCAGGAGGTCGAGGCAGGTTGATTTCTGAGTTTGAGGCCAGTCTGGTCTACAGAGTGAGTTTCAGGACAGTCAGAGTTACATAAAGAAGCCATGTCTCAGAAAAAACAAACAAAAACCAAAAATTTTCATAGAGGTTTGCACAATATGCATGGTTTATCTGCTCTCTTTCATGAAGCCTGCTTAGTTAAAAGCAAACTAGTTGAATCCCCAGAATTACAAGGGCCAGTATGGAACACACATTTACTCAAGTTACACTAAAATTTTAATTATGAAAAATAGTTTGAGAGTTTATTTTTTCAATCATGTGAAAAGCCATGGGAATTTTAACCACTGAAACAGTTTTATATAGTTTATAAATAAAATCTAAACAGAAATTAATGTCTGCCATTTTTTTCTGCAGTGATATTCTAGCTTATTCAGGCTGCTATAACAAAATGCCAGAAACTAGGTGGCTTAAGAAACAACAAAAGTTTATTCTTCACAGTTCCAGTGATGGGGAAGCCCAAGGTCAAGACATGAGCAGATTCATGGTTGGGGAAGGGGGGGGGTGGGTTTTACCTTGTGCTTTCTTGGCTGTGACCTTGCATGACAGAATGGAGCTGGTCTGGGGACTCTTTGGTAAAGGCGGGAGTTCCAGCTGTACCCTCATGAGGTGATGCTTTCAGAAGGCCTCACCTTAATAGAGTCACCTTGGGGGCTAGGGTTTCGTGTGGCTTTGAGGGGTACAGACATTGAGGTCATAAAGTGTAATGATCACACATCAGTCCAGGGTAGTGAGGAGACTTAGGGTGTACGTCCTCTTTAAGCTTTAGTTTCTCTGTGTGTGAGATAGGGGATTTGGTTCAAATTACTACCAAGATCATTTTTACTCAAGTGTGATTTGGGAAAGTTAGGAAACACAGCCTGTAACCATGGTGAGGCTAGATCCAAAAATACATTATTTTCTCCTTCTCACTAACAGTGATACTTTCCATTGATTAAGTCACTTTGTATTCCCCTAATGAACCAATTTCTTGATTTTTTTTTAAAAGAAAATACCAGCTGCTCAATAGTGAATGGAAGAATGTTGAGAAATACCAAACAAATGAGCTCTCACTTCTGTGTTAGAGATCTGCATTATTGCGATGTTTTTCTTCCCTGTTGCAGGTATTCAGAAAGCAATGGGTGATTCTTTCATAAATTTAGAAACTATTTCACGTCAGTTCCTGCTGCCTTTGTGTTTATGTGAGAATCTCATTAAAATATATATGACTTATTCTCTTAAAATATGATTTCCTTCATTTTTGCCTTTCTACAGGCAGCAAGTTTGTGTCTATAAATACAGATTTTTGTCAAGATCCTCGCGTTGATGGTCATTTTTCTCCATTAGCGTCTAGGTAATCTACTTAGATAGTACCGCATTTGACCCTCTTGGTTTGCTGAAGTGTGGTCTCATCCATTTTGTTCTTAAGGCCATGCTCCTTGGGGACTGCCCTGTCAAGAGCACTGCTCCTGACATGAGCATCCTGACCTAGTTGGGGCAAGTATGAGACAGAGAGGAGTGTCTCACTGTTTGCTGACATATATTCCAGACAGATTCAGCCCTCTAAAGTAGAGACTCAGATCATTAAATGGACATTGCTCAAGGAGATAGCAGAAAAGTCAGCTGGCAGTGCCCCTCCTATCACTTGGCAGGTGGGGACAGAAGGGTCCAGAGTTCTAGGCCAGCGTTGGAGGCAGCCTGGGCTGCATGAGACCCTGCGACAAAACAAGCAACACAAAACTAATAGCAACAACAAAACAAGGAAGAGAGATTTGATTCTTTTCACTGTTTTATTCTACAATAGTGTGTGCATTTGACGTGTTGTGTCACTATCTAGCTGTGTGAGATGAGAGGGTTGCTCACCCTCTCTGAGTTTCAGGTCCCTGTTCATAAAGTTTGGGTCTTATTTCTAAAATGCATTTGGTTCTAAAGCCTACTTATGTTCATGTCATGTCTGTCTCCCCCTGTTCTCTCCCCTTCCCTTCCAGTCTTCCTAGCTTCATTTGAGCTTTCTGGAACAGTCTGCTTTACATTTAATCAGGTTCCCCTTGTTTCTCATGGCTCGTCTTTAAATCAGTGTGGTTCAATTTTTTAGTTTGTGGAGATTTTTAGAAAGCATTTATTACTAGTTTAGTCCATTTATTTTCTAGTCACGTTGAGATGAGGTTAACTCACCAACTCAATTTGTTTTACTTTTATACTTGGAAAATGGTCTGAAAAGAACCATTCTTATTTTTACAGAAATTATAATTGAACACCTTTTCCTCAGCAGGCATTTTGTACATCTTTATCAAAGAGAAGCAAGCCAATTGAATGCTATTGACAGCAGCTACAGGATACACCTAGAAAGAGTTTGTCATTTGCCCACCTTGCTGCCGTCAGTGCAGAATCTATCCAAGCTGTTAAACCAAAAAAAAGGAAAAAAGAAAAAAAGATCCACAGCCACAAAACCCTGTAGGAATGGGTTAGAAAATAATCTACAGTAGGGCCACAAAACCCTGTAGGAATGGGTTAGAAAATCATCTACAGTAGGGCCACAAAACCCTGTAGGAATGGGTTAGAAAATCATCTACAGTAGGGCCACAAAACCCTGTAGGGATGGGTTAGAAAATAATCTACAGTAGGGCCACAAAACCCTGTAGGAATGGGTTAGAAAATCATCTACAGTAGGGCCACAAAACCCTGTAGGAATGGGTTAGAAAATCATCTACAGTAGGGCCACAAAACCCTGTAGGAATGGGTTAGAAAATCATCTACAGTAGGGCCACTTACTCCTTGAAGAAATGCCTGTTGAGTTGTCTGCTAGGTTGCCTGTGGCATATTGTTATGCACAACAGATATTCTTAACTATACAGAGTTGATTTCTCTACTATTAGGAAACAGGATTCTCAGTAAGTACACGTATTATGATGGCTTTTCACAAGGTAGTAAACGCTATGGAATATCAAAACTGGAGCAGAAAAGGGGGAATCCAGGGGAAATGGGCAGTGGAGAGCTTGGCTGTAGTCTTAAGTACCTATGAATAGGTTTAAATTTCCAGGCTAAACAGGCTTTCTGGGTGCAATCAAAGTTAAATATCTTAAAATAGGAGATGTCCCTTAAAATAGAAAAATCACACTGGCTAGTGTGTGGAAGTATCCAGAACTTGGCATGTTTGATTGCAAATCAGCATAAAGGGCCCGTTGGGAAGCATAAGAAGGACAGAGAACAGCCGTGAGGAAATAGATCAGCTTTCCACTCACTGGCCCCAGAGATCCAACAGAGACTGAATCCAGCCCCAAACCAGAAGCAACCCTAAGATGCTCAATGGGACTTCAGAAAGGTTCCACTTGAGAACCTAAGCGAAAGACTTAAGTGATGCTACAGCCAGGCTTGTGACCTACACAACTGACATAATAAGTGGTAATGTTTGAGGCTCCTCCTTCTGTGGAGATTCGATATAACAGTAAGTGAACACCCACAGGGTTAGGGAACTGGACAAGAGAGCCCCAGGCAGAGAGAAAACAAGAACCAAGTTCTAAGGAGGTGCACCTGAGGGATGGAGGAGTTGCAAGGTGGCCACTGTGACTAGGATGCAGAACACAAGGGGTTGGGTGGGAAATGAGGTCGGAAAGGGTTAACCTCTAGGTGCCAAGTCATCTAGGTCGCCTCACCTATTTGCAGCAGTCCCTAAAAGTTGAGAACTTTTGCGCGGTGGTCAGAAGCTGATGTGGAAAAACGACCAGAAGCACTGTTGCTGACTGGAGATGGAGGAAGACATAGGCCTGACAGTGTGTGTGGCCTCTAACAAGAAGACATGGCCCAGAAGCCTGGTATCCCCTGCATCCTCAAGACTGCCAATGCCTACCTGACCATAAAACTATAAAGTAATAAACTTTAACTTGGGTAGTTTACTACAGTAACCAAAGAAAATCCGCAGAGCAAACTGTTGGATATAAGACTCTGTAAAAAGAGAGAGGCCGGAGTTTGAAGGCACAGAGTTCGCATTGGAAGCCTTGGCTGACGGAGATCTCCAGGACCGCGTGTAGAGACTGGACGGAGAGACAGTCCACATCTGTTTCTCCATTCCTATCCCCTGCTGGCCAGGTGCTCCACATGGGGTCTTAAGTCTATTCCGAGACTGTGCGCGTGTCAAAATGGTTCAGTGGGCTTCTCCTGGTATTCCATGTGGTGGTTATTCCATGTGGCGATGGTTGGGTAAGGCCAGAGTGGACAGTGTAAGAAGAGCGTAAAGCTAAAATGAAATACTGACAAAGACAAGACTGAAAAAATGTGCCGAGAGATTTGAGG